ACCATTAACTGCAATAGAACCAGGACGGAAATCGTTGTTACGACTTAACCCAAGATTAAGTTAAGTATACAAGAATCACCATCTCTATTATTCAACACTGAACAATCAGACGAAAACCATGAAGATTACTCTAAATTACGAAAAACAATATCACAAATTAATAATCTTACAAAATGAATTTCAACGAAGACTTTATCGAAAAACTATCCTTATTAAATCTTGAAAGTTTACCATGCCTAGATCATCTTGAACAATTATTAGTTGAAACTATAGAAAGTATATTCAGAGAACGAACTTATGGAACAATTGAACGAAATGAACTTAATAAGGAAAATCGAAGAATAAGAATGATTAGTGCAATATTTAACGCAGTAAGAGAGATTAAACGAGATATTATAAATTCTGACGAATAAAATGGAAAAAATATACAAGAAAAATATCGAATTATTAAACGCACCAGTACAATATTTAGAAACAGAGAGTAAACTAAGATGCATACAAAATACAATAGAAAAAGAACAAATTAACAATATAATTACAGAATTAAAAAAATTAATTACAATAAAAGAAATAAAAATTGAATATTTTAGAAAACATTCATCGAAAGATAATTATAATGGACATTGACTCCCATTTTTAGAAGAAACGCTAAACCGAATAAAAGAAATATTAAGTTTTTTCGAAAACGAAATAAAGTCCCCTGAATAAAATAACAATAAAATATAATTATTATATTGAAGGACAAAATTGGAATTATCAAAATTTCAAGGTCACCCTTGAAGTCAAAATGACATTTAAAGTCATTTTTGTAAATGCCCCGGGTATGGGTGTGAAATTGCACGCTAATATTAAAAAAAAATTAAAATGTTGATAAAAAAATTGTATGAACAGAGACATTATTTAGGAGAGTATTTACATGGATATGGGCATGAGACATTTGACATCCTCACCCGTGGTCCAAGTTTGATATCCATTTGTTGTCTTTAACAAACAAAAAAGAAAAAAAAAATTAAAAGAAAAGGGTATTTTGATTAAGTGGCAAGTTCATGTGAATAGAAATACAACTTTTCACAAAACAAAATACAAAAAAAAAAAAGTGGCAAGTGGTGTGAGTTTAGATTTTTGTGAAACTTTGACACTTTTTTTTGTCTTTTTCCCTTCTCTTTCATGACTTAGTAATTTAGTATTTTGTTCCCTTTGGCTTTCTACCGTTGGGTGGATATATAATTTTTTTCTAGTGAAATGTTAATATTAGAACAATGATATCAATTAAATTATCATCAAAATAAAATTATATGATGTTGTTATTTCGTACATTACAGATTCATCCCATCACATCTACTAATTGGTGGTCTAATAGTTGATGGATGACAAAATTATTTGGAGATCTTAGTTCTATTTTATTGGTGGAGAGAAGGGACATAATTAATTGCGTGATTAAAGATTGATTTCAAACTCAAATGAAAGTTTGGTAAACCTCTTGATTATAAAAAAAATTCATTCCATCATTTTTTATAATAATATCACAACCAAATCACGATAAAATTTCACGCGCAAACATATAAGAAATTTTCGAATATTACCAAATTTCCAAAATCTCTCGTCTTTGTTAACCCAAAAAAAAAAGAAAGAAAATTCTCAATTTAAATGGTAAAGCAATGATGGATTTTAGAACCATAATAAGAGTACACTAAGCATATGGATTAGACGACTAATTTGATGTTAAATCCATAATCCATAATTCTCAATTTAAATGGTAAAGCAATAATGCACGTCAAATTTGTCAATTTTGCGTTTGCGTTTGCGTTTGCGGCATGGTCCCGGCTCACTTTTAACCGAAAACGACACTGGAAAGCCGACTCCTTCGCAATGTGTACATATGTAATATGTTTTAAGCCTTCACGGTTATCAAACCAAGAAGTGCGATTGCCAAACCGAACCAAACCAAAAATCTAAACCGACCAATAAACAACACACAGGATGTGCCCAAAATTCGACATGAACATCTTGAGATTGCATAATATATAGAACGAAATCTGTCTTTTAACTATCAAATGCATGACAAAAAGAAAGACGACCTCCATGCCATGGCCTAGGGGGAGGAGAGTCAGTCGTCATAATCCGAGGATCAAGCGATTTTTGCATTCGAGAAGTCCATTTCCGGGTGCTGAAGGGAAAAAAACCGACGGAAGAGAAGATGTTATGAAGTATAGAAAGCCGGTAAGAACAACGACGACGACGAGGGATAAGTTTTTAGGAGCTTTGGTACCTCGGCCATGAATTTCTTGAGGATCTCTTGCTTCTGCAACTCATCGCTCGTCGGGAGTCCCATCTGTTTCTGCCTTTGATCAAACTGCAGGGAAGGAAAAACTCACAAATCACATGATCTATTATTCATTCATAGACAGACAATTATTAACCAAAAAATTCAGCATTCTTGAAAGCTACCATCATTTTCTCGACGGTCTGCCTAGTTTCGGGGTCAAGGTCAGATAACTTGCTGCTCTCTGGTTCAACTTTCTGAGTGTCAACCTCAGGCTCCCCTTTCACAAGACATTTCCACCATTCCATCTGATCATGTTTTGTCAAGAAAACTGAAATAACCTTTTGATCCTCTGCAAATTCCAAGGAACACAAAATCACATGTGACCATGTATGAATACCCAGAAGAAAAAGCAAAATTTAGGTTTCCCTCTTCATTCATCATGCCTTGGCTGTTAGAATGGTCATATTTCTCTCATTCAGGGAAAGAAAACAACCAAAATCCATTCAAGAGTGAGTGGACCAGAGTGGAAAGACATACCAATGTTCCAGTAGCAGTCATCAGGCTTCACGGGACGGTAAAGTTCCCCCTATACTCGCCCAAAGTTGCAAACTTCAGTAACATTTTTGTAGAAAAGATCCAAAGAAGGATAAAGGGAGACAATGGATATGATGCAACAAGAAGGATTGGTAACTTACATCTATAATTGGAGGCTGTCCTTTCAGACCAACTTTCAGGTGGTTCTTCTTGATCTCACAGACGATGAACCTCGCTTTAGTGCCGCTAGGGACAGGAATGTTAACCGTGACCTCCTGGAGGGTCTGGATCCACGAGTAGTTATCAAAATCAAGGCCGTTGCCTTTGTTTGGAACTGCATTGGTGAGTCAGACGAACACGACGACAGTTCGGTAAATGCCATGCTCATCAAAATGATTCAAGCACAGAGCAAGGGATGGAAAACAAGTTCAATCATGGATCAAAACAGAAATCATCAAATTTACTTCGACATGACAGCGGAAACTACGACATTCTGGAGCTCATTCTCTTTCGTTGAGCTGATTGAAAACTTTGTGTTCGATGAACCAACATCAGAGTTTTCTTGTGATACTAGCTGTTGTAGCTACGACAGAGCAGTAACACACTAATCTAATGTCATAGATCATAATTTTCGATCTGGTTTAGAATGGCAACCAAGATGATCTTTAGTCATTTACCATCCCACAAAATCGTGCAAAGCCTAAACTTTCTCCTATATCCTAAATTCTTAGTAGCAAGTTAAATCGAGCACATGAAACGTGATCAAGATCGAGAACACAAAATCATCCCACAAAATGTTCATGCCCTGCAAGCAAATCAGACTTCTTTAGTATCAAATTACTACCTTGTTCATCAATACCGATAAAGTTCCAAGCTTTCTCCTAACCACGCACGGACTAGACAAAAATTTCAACTCTAAGGCCTCTCAAGAGTCAGTAATACTGCATGCTTTCAGATTCAATTCCATTAAATCCAGTGATAAAGAAGAGGAAGCACATGAGAAAGCAAAAACAAAGGAATTAGACCTCTAGGACCAGATTCATCCTTCTGCTCCTCCTTCGGCTTCTCCACCTCCATGGGCTCCGCGTTCGAAGCACTCGCCTGCTTCTCCTCCGGTATCGCCGACTTCTCCTCAGCCTTCTCCGGCTTCTTCTCCGCCTCCCTCAGCCTCTCCTTCGCCGCCCTCACGGCGGCCACGACCTCCTTCTCCGCTGTCTCTTTCCTGAGAAAATCGCTCTCTTTCCCGAGAAAGTCGAGAACTTTCTCCACAAACCCAAGAGGGTTCGATGGATCGAAGCTCGCACTGAACGAAACCGTGGAGGGTCTGCTGCTGGTGCTTTCCTCGGGTAACTCAGAGATAATCGCCATAGCTTTTGCTTTTCTAGGTTTTGCTCCCAGTCGACGCAGCCGTTAAAATCGTTCTCAGTATGGAGAAATCTTCTCCAATCGGAACAGCCCCAAAGAAAGTTCGAGAGAAGAGAGAGAGCGCTCTTAAACTTAGGCCTTAAACCCTTTTTTTCCCCGAAGCCCCTCTCGGATTCTTAGTTTTCCTTATTTTATTTCTTCTAATATATCAACACCCCAACTATATATATACTTTAAATTTTATAAAAATATATCATATTTTATAATTTTTTAGAAATTCATATCTAAAAACCCTAGCAGCGTCACAATTTTAAAAGTTTATATGCGTCAGCAAGACTGTCATATTATTGTCTGGATATTATTAAAATAAGTCTCCCTCCAGATATTTTTAAAATAAGTTACGTATCATTTACGATTTAAAATTTATTTTAAAATAAAAATAAAAAACAATAAAGAAAAATAAAACAAAAAGCAAAAAAAAGTTAATAAAAATACAGAAAATAAAAATACGTATATATAGATACACAATACATATATATGTTTATATATACATACATATATAGATTTATACATATATATGTTGGGGACGGCGGTTGTTGACGACGACAAAACTCCGGCAATTCGAGCGATTCCAGATAAGTACCTGAAATTAAAAAATTATTTTGTCGAGGCCTGTGAAACACAGTTTCTTTAAGTTCGATTTCCGTGCCACCTCTAAAGCTTCGAGGCTATTGGAGCACGGTGAACTCCCAGGATACAACGACCGCGTATTTGGAAGAAGCTTTCCAAATACCAAGCGAACTCAGAGAGAGATATGAGCAAATATGTGAATGCTCTTTTTCTCTAGAATGCTTGTTTCTTTTCTGTGTGTTTTATGAGCTAACCCAAGACCCCTATTTATAGTAGAGGGGAGAATCTCAAAACAAATCAATTTGAATTTCAAAATTCAAATTTGATTTTATTTTGATATTATCTCAATCTTATCTCAATCATATTTGATAGATTTTCTGCGGATTTGAATCCAATTTGAATTTGAATTTCAAATTCAAATAAGAATATTCTCTTAATATTCTGCAGATTTAAATTTAGACGGACCGGGCTTCTCACGGGCTA